CGGGGTCGCGGCCGCGCGGGGTGTGGTGCCGCGTCTGACTGGCTCTGAGACGCCCCAGAGCGGCGCGCAGAGCAGCCTCCTGCCGCAGCCGCACAGGTAAAGCCCCCGCCCCGCCTCGTCCCGGGAGCATGGACTCCCCGCCTTACTTCTGTCCATCCTCCGCTGCGAATGTTGGGGGCCCGAGGGCCCGAGGGCCGGGTGGTCCGAGGGCCCGGGGATCCGAGGTCCAGCGGGGTTCAAGGGTCCGAGCCCCGCCCGCCTTGCTCCGCGCGCGGCTCCGCCACTCCACGCCCAGAGCGGGCCGCGCGCACGGGGCTTGGCTTTTCTCTCCTTTTCCTTCTTTTCACAGTTGAAATGAAAGGCGAGGTTTTGGTGCCCGGTGCCGGGAGCTGTTCCCCTAGGGATGGCGGAGAAGAGCTTGATTTATTACTGTAATTTTTAAAGATTGTCAAAATTAGCCAAATGGTGAGTGAGCTGACAGGCAGACTAGCTCCTGGGCTGCCAGAGCCCGCTGGCGCCGGTCGCTTGTCCATCCTTCTGACCCCGCGCTCCGGTTTAAGAAGAAAGCCTGGGCCGGGCGCAGTGTCTCAAGCCTGTAATCCCAGCACTTTGGGAGGCCGAGGTGAGAGGATTGCCTGAGTCCAGTGGTTCGAGACCAGCCTGGGCAACTTGGTGAGACCTCGTCTCTACAATAAAGCAAAACATTAACCGGGCGTGGTAGCACGCGCCTGTAGTTCCAGCTACCTGGAAGGCTGAGATGGAAGGATCCCTGAGCCCAGTAGGTCGATGCTGGGGTAGCCGTGAGTATGCCACTGCACTCTAGCCTGGGCGACGGCGTGAGACTCCAACTCAAAAGAAGAAGAAGAATGCCTGTGCCAGTCCTCAGTCCTCTTGTTTCTACTCTGAGGAACTAGAGTGTGTGTGTGTGTGGGGGGGTCCCAGGCTGGCTGCCACCCGGCACCTTGCCCAGCCTTTGGCACCCAAGCAGTGGGGGCAGCAAAGGCTGGCAGCAGGGTTATCTGGTCACGGAGCCCGGCTATTCTCAACAAGTGGCCAGCCCCAGCTATCCTCACCTGATGTGAGATGCTCTCTGGATGGCTTTGGGTGTCTCCAGAAATAAGTTGCAGGGCAGGTCTGTTTATGGAAGAAGGAATTCCCCTGCTGAGACCCTGCAGTCTGCATGTGATGTCCTCCCCCTTGTTCCCAGCTGGACCTATCCAGAGAAGGGGAAGATGGTGCCACTATCTTCCCCTTCTCTCTCCCTCACTTTCTCTCCTGTTCCCTTTTAGAACTGAAGGAGTAGAGTGCACTGCTGTTGCCAGCACTTAGGAGGAAGAGTTTCCATCTACTTTGGGCAATTGCTCACCCACTGGGGAAGAGCCTCATCTCCAGGCCTGAACCAAGGACAGCGTGCCCTCTGTCCCCATCCACATCGGGATGGGCGCTGCAGGCAGGCAGAGCCCCTCGTGCCTGCTGGTTTCTGCCCGAGGGTCTTGCCTGTTTCTTCTCTTCTACCTGCACTTGGGTGCCTCCTGCCCGCAGCCTTGCTGGTGCCCTGACCACACGGGGACTGTTGCTGTTCACTGCAGTGCAAGGGGCCTACAGGAGATCCCCAGGGATGTCCCCACTGATACCGTGCTCCTCAAGCTCGATGCCAACAGGATCTCCCACGTTCCCAATGGGGCCTTCCAGCACCTGCACCAACTGAGAGAGCTGGACCTGTCTCACAACGCCATCGAGACCATCGGCCCTGCCGCCTTCTCGGGCCTGGCTGGGGGCCTGCGGCTGCTGGACCTGTCGCACAACCACCTCCGGAGGATCCCGAAGGATGCCCTGGGTAAGCTCAGTGCCAAGATCCGCCTGTCCCACAACCCCCTGCACTGTGAATGTGCCCTGCAGGAGGCCCTATGGGAGCTGAAACTGGACCCTGACTCGGTGGATGAAATCGCCTGCCACACCTCGGTGCAGGAGGAGTTTGTGGGGAAGCCTCTGATCCAGGCCCTGGACTCGGGCGTCAGCTTCTGCAGCATCCACCACAAGACCACCGACGTGGCCATGCTGGTCACCATGTTCGGCTGGTTTGCCATGGTGATCACCTACATCGTGTACTATGTGCGACACAACCAGGAGGATGCCCGGAGGCACTTGGAATACCTAAAGTCCCTGCCCAGTGCCCCCGTCTCCAAGGACCCCATCAACCCGGCACCTTAGTGCCTGTCCAGGCAGACCCTGCTCCCAGGCTGCCTCTGCTTTTGTAGCAGGTGGTGACTGACTCTGCTTTCCTTACTCCCACAAGGCAAGTGACCACAGCCACTCTGGTGCAGTGCTTCCTGCTTTCCTGTGTGGCACGTACTCCTTATAGCATCCTCCAAGTCAGACCCCTTTGATAGACGAGGACACTGAAGCCCCTGATTTGCCACTGACACCATCAGGAAATAATGACGTTGGGACTTAAACTCAGTCCTCTATCAGGACATTCCCTGTTCCCTCCCCTGTGCAGGTCCCTCCCATGCGGTGCTGCAGGACCTGCATATGCATTCAGGGAAGAAAGAGTGTGCCTCTGCAGTGTGAGAGTCCCAGCGAGGAGGCCCAGTGGCAGGCCCAGATGTGGTCTCCACTGAGGACCTGGCCTGCCTTTGTTCACCTAGTACTTCCCAAGTACATCTGAACACAAGCCCTTTGTCCAGAGCAAAGTCACAGAGCCAGGTTTGTTAGAGAGCCAAGTGGAAAGTGTAGCGCAAAAACAGCATTCAGCGCCTTGTTTATTCTCAGAATATTTATTTAGAGGATACTTTGTGCCAAAATTTCAGTCCATGGTGGGGAGAGGAGAGAAACATGGAGAGACAACTGCAAAAGGTCCAGCTTAGATCTCTAAGGGGCAGTCAGCAGCCAGACAAACAGGGTCCCACCTGCCTCCTGCCCCTCCAGCTGTGCCTGTTGCGGAAGGCCCGTCTATCCGGGTTACTGCTGTGCCTTGCTTTTCTACTCTGACATCTAGAACAGTGCTTTTTCCAAGGCCAGGAGAATGGACGTTTGACGTTTCAAGACCAATCAACAGGATGCTTCCTTTTCTCCAACAACAGGAACTCGCTCTTTTCACCTTTGCTGCCAGGAATCTCAGAGATAACTTAGTGCTCGATTTTCTTACCTGTATTCACGTTCACGGTAGATGTTACCTCTACCTATATGTCTCTAATTTCTAATTTTATTTTTTACTATCTTTTTGTATGCATGTTTATATTTTAAACTACTTTGAATATTTTGGGAGGCTAGCAGATGATAAGTGTAAGTTGTTTATGGACTCAAAGTACAAGGTAGAGATGCCTCTTCAAGCAGATGCTGAAACATGATTAGAAATCAGGGTGACTTGTGTTTGGAAAGTATCAGGTGACTTGAAGTGGGGAGGTGAAGTCAAATCTGGGGCATGTGTGCCGGCCCTGATGAACCAGCGTGGCAGTCCTAGCACTACCATGTCCTGATAGCTCCACCATGCATGGATTCAGAGATATAATGCCAGCAGCTGTTTGACTGTCAGCTGTGCTGCAGCAGAGACTGGAGAAGCTCATCAGAACAGGATCGAGACTTCTCAGTCATGGTGAACTAAAGAGAAACAACCAACAGATTCCAAACACCCTCCCATGCGAATGCCACACACACGCCTGGGTCCACAAGCACCCAGTGTGCAGGTGATTCTCCAGAGCCAGATGTGCCCAGCATGCAGCGAGAGGGTTGTCTGCATCATGAAGTGCTTGGCGGGCACCGCTATGTTTACCATCCAGATGTGGAGTGGATGGAGAGAAGTGCCCAGCGCCAGTGGAGGCAGCCCCAGACCCTGCCCACCTTCCCTGGTGCTGCATCTAGCGAGGACTAGAACCAAGCAGTCAACTTCTCCAGGGCTACTGTGGATGATTGTGGTCCCCATGCAGAGATGGGGCCACCACGTGGTGGGGTGCTCAGCTCCAGCGTTCAAAGGAAGCAGCGCCAGTGGAGCAGCACACCCCGGCCTGAGGGGATTCCTCCCAGAAGAAACAAGGCTGCAAGTGTGAGTTGAAGATGAGTTTATTAGGACCTGTCCTAGGCTCTGTGGGATAGACGTGGTGCGGAGCAGGTAGACACTGCTACTGGTCTGGCCAGTGGGCCCCAGGATCACGTGGTAATTGGGTCCTCCTGCAGTGCACATGGTGGGGATGGGGGCTTTGTCATGCAAGGAGCTTGCCATCTGGTGGATTTGCCCAGTAGATGGGACCCTGGGTCTGGGGAGATTGTTGGCTGAAGCTCAGGCAGTGAAGAGCAGGGTCCTGCCTCTGTCTGTGTCCTGTAGGTGCTGGCCAGTCTCCTCTCCTCTGGTATTTGAGGCCCTTTCCCTGCTGCCAGGGGGCTCTTTGTTTGCTCTTCCTCGAGTCAGTCCAGAGCCTGGGTTCCACCTGAGCATGGCTCTCCAGTGGGCACATGGGGAGTGGGGCCCTTCCCTCTCCACCCCAGTTGGTTGGGCCATCCCACCCAAGGCCTGCCTCCCTTGGTGTGGGTCTGCTGGCACCTGGGAAGAGGATGAGGAGAGGACCAGGGGACACCAGAGGCCCCTCTCCCTCATCACCAGCCTAGCATCAGGTCCTAAACTGCCCACCTATCTGGACTTTCTGTTCCCCCTCCATCCCTGCTCCAGTGGACCCAGGGGAAAACACCTCTCCTCTAAGGAAGATCACAAAGACCCTGACACTCTGGGGCTCCGAAGCTCCTTCCTATTTGTAGGAGCTCCCCTCCCATACCTGGAAGTCCTTGGCTCCTGGGGTACAGCCTCCCCTTCCCTCCCTGCCTCCACCCTTCCTCTCCCCTCTCCTTCCTCTCCTTGCTCTCATCCTCTCCCCTCCCCTTCTCTGTCCTCTCCTCCCCTCCCTTCCCCTTTGCTCTCTTCCCCTTCCCTCCTCTGCCCTCTCCTCCCC